GTACTAGGTATAAGCAAATTGATATTGGATTAGCATTTGTTGGATATGTGTAAAATTATGTGTGTTGACATATCAACTGTCTTTACATGCTTGAAAGAATAAATCAAATCAAATCAAATAAAAAACCAGAGTGAATGTCAGTTTACTGGTGCTGCTTTGTGTTCAAATCAAAACCGTGCACACTCCCATCACCTTTATATATGGAATTCATAATGAACCTGTGTATGTGTTTATGAAAATCAGCCAGATAGATCTGTGCTTGTTATTATGATCCATTTCTGTGCACATTTTTGTTGTTTGTCCCAAAGGCTGCAGACAGTACGATGCACCTCTCACAGTCTTGCTTTGTTTTCCAGTGATTTGCTAGTCTAGACATCCCCTTTCGTCTTGTTGTAACACAGCGGTGTGTAATACACAGGTGGCCATGACAACGCTAAATGCATTAAGCTGGATTAACTGAGGCCTGCTGAGCCTCCGAGTCAGCCAGGGATCTCTCCTCACCCCAGGCCTTGCACGCAGACACACACACTCCTGCCTATTGCTACAGAAAGCACATTAATGATCTCCCTGCATTCATTTATTTAGCTCATTTCACTGTGGTGAGTTGTAATTCATGCTGAAATGAAGACATGAATATGCTTATGACTGTACAGCCTTATGGGAATATTAGACACATATGTTTGCATCAAGGATCCTGTTGGCCTGGTATAAAGTAGTGGGGAACTAGTGCAGACTGTTCGGCTTCTCAGCTCAAGCAGCTCAACTTTTTGCCCGCTAGCGTGAGAGATGGATAAAGATGAGATAGGGGTTAGAGAGAAGGAAATAGACTGAGAGAACTAGTAGGACAAGTAGGCTGCCAGAAGGCAGGGTTATACAAGGACAAGAGTTTTCCATGGAAAAATAGAGCAAGAAATGCTGTTTAGCCAGTCATCCTTGGTGACGCGTGGAAAAGTGTGGAATGCTGTGTGCTGACGCAACTTTCGTGCAGAGATCGTGTGTAATGAGTTTGCATTTGAGATCAAAGAGTGTGTAAAGGAGCAACACAAAGAGATGAAAAGAAAGTGGATGAAAATACGAGTGCACTTCGGATGGGTGAGAGTGGAAAAGTGGAGAAAGAGAGCTGTAGCCTGTTGACATGCAGTTCCTAACTGTTTCCATATAGAAAGCCTGGGAGCAGGCGCCAGGCAGCCCCTCAGCATGGATACGTCTGGTACCCATCAGCCACTGCAGAGGGAGGACACACACGCAAACATTCACACACATTCATGCTTACACTTATGCAACATACTTAGACATTTGGTTCAATTTACATGAACTTTACCGGCATAAAACACATTAGCCTACTGATGTTGCCAAACAAAACATGACCGTTCATTCATTCATGTATATATAACTCTTTATGCACATGCAACCACCTTGTATCACTGTAAAAAAACAAACATGTATATGCACTTAAGGAAATCCTCCATCCAAGCCACATCTATGTACACACATAGACAAGCACCAGACAGTATATTTGTACAAACATGCACATATGGGCATCAACACAGGTGACACTTTAAATGTAGAAATCCAAATAAAGAAGTGGTGACACATCTGAGCTGTGGACATATTTTGGACCAACAGTGCTATCCCCCACCATCATCCAAAATCGTATAGGGGATCTTTTTGGCGGAATGTTCATCCCTCCAGTTGACCTCCAGCTACCTGGAGAATCTACAGTGGCCTAAAATTTAGAGAAGCGAGCTTGTGATTAGAAGGTTGACGAGACAATACCTAGAGCGACAGGGTTAAATCTATGAGTGAACTCTTGGGTAAGGCCTTTAACCCTAACTGTTCCAGTGGAGCTGCTCAGTAGCCAGAAAGTCAGACTGTGGTTGTACTGGGCAGCTTCCAGGAGGGTGTGTGTAAACATGATCACAGTGCTTTTGTAAAAGACAAGTGGCTTCCCGCTGAACCTTCCCTGTGTAAATAAGGGTTAAAAGAAAAACAATGATTTTATTGTATCAGTCAGTGGGTTTAAATGCACCCTTAATGTCCAGGTGGTGATTGAATTTTTGGAATTTCACACCATATGCTGGTTGCAGAAACTTGGATATACTTCAATAAAAACCAGAACACTGTACTATGTAAACACCTCGTCCATGTTTCTCATCATTCTCTGCTTTGTTTGCAGATGAACTCAAATTCCATAGCAGACAATAAAATGAACGCTGACCAGTCATGTTTACAGGAATATGAATAACCAGGTTTCTTATGTAACATGTAAATGTTATATCCTGAACAAGATCAAAACCAGAATGAGACTCAAAACCCAGACAGGAATGCACGTTTAATTATGATAAAATCAACAGAGGAAAAACTGCATCATAAAGCCATTTCAGGTCACTGAAGGGATGCAGCACACCTGCACAGAAGTGCAGACTTCAGCACAGCAGAGGAGAGACTGTATATGGGCAGGTTACCTGAGATGCAGATCGGTATAATACAAGCTGAGGGCACCTTGAAAAGCAAATACACACACATATAGATGTAACATATTGTAAAAGGATTATCCTCTATTAGCTGGGTGATAAATAAACATGGCATCATGCAGGGCAGGCTGCTCATGTTTGGGAGAATGACAGTGAGAAAGCAGGATTTATTACATATTGTATTACCCTGACAGTCGTGTCAGGAGGAATTCCCATGATGGCTGTAAAATAAAAACACACATACGAAAAGCGGAGGGACTCAGCTGTGGATACTGGTAATGCCATTACCTCTGCCTGTCTCCTATTGGACTCAGCGAGACACTCATTAAGACTGCATTATGCTCAGTGAAAAAGGCCAAGAGACATTTGTGTGTTGGGTTTGCTCTTTGCTGCTCCTTACCTCAGACATCACTCCCAGAACACACTGCTCATTCAGACTGGATTAAACCAAACGGTGGCTTTAGGAGTGATGCTTTGTTTGCGGAAGGATGTTGTTTGATTAAGTGAGGTAAAATTCCACCGTGACATCATGAAACCAAAACTGACTTTGTTGTCAAGCCTCCATGGATTGGCCTTCTGCTGGATTTGGACATGTATTTTTTTTAACACTGGTTTACACTGTGTCCTCTGGGGCCAAACACCTGTCTTTGTTTTTCTCACACACACATCACTACCTCATCTCAGTATCTTACCCTGGAGGTGAGCACTGCTCAAACACATCACATCATTGGCAAACACTGCACCGTCACTGTAGGCAGAAACTGTTCAGTGACCTACTGTGGCAACAAGACATTAATATGATCAAGTAATATTTCAAATATTCAAATATATTTCAAATATTTAAGTGTTTGAGTGAAGCATGAGGTATAATTCTGAGTTCCTTAACTGTAATTTCATGGTCATACACTCCCCTGACTTACAGGAGAAATACTGTACATTTTAAGAGATTTGCTTATCTGCTTTCTTCCTGATACTTAGACTATACACTTTCTTGTTATGGCAGACAGCAGCAGCTTTGGCTTAACAAAAAAAAACAGCTTGGTTCAAACCAAGCCCTCCACAAAATCATAACTTTTTCTTTTACACCTTTTTCCTACAAATGAAATAAACCTCACATTAGTGAGCTTTAGTTAGGCGGGTTTTGTTCCTTTTGGGCAAAGCAAATCCCTTTTGTTTTTATGCTAAGCTAAGCTAAGCTAACATACACTGGAACTTTGTATTTAAGTACATTTAGCTGATGATACTTATACACATTTATTACACAGTATGATTTTTTAATGTGTATTTTTACATTATGGGTATTCCTTCCTTTCTGTTCTCTTAACATCTGTGTTGTTGTCTTCCAATCTTACTGCAGCTCTTTTTTTATTACATCTGTCTTTGTATAAAGCAATTCTAAATGCATCTTCTCTTTTAAATAATTCACCATCCCGTCGGCATGTGGCATTGGCAGTGTCTGGGAAAAGAAAAATCAATACAGCTGTGTTGTTTGGTCAGAGTGGAGTTTGTTAAACACAAAATCAATAGCACGAGTCAAGGATTCGGGATGTCATAAAGTGTTGTTTGTCTGTTCGGTGGAATTCCCTTCCTGGTCCCATTCAGCCCCCATGCAAGCACACAAGAAGAGGAAGCAGAGAGGAGTTTGTATTTTGTCATGTCTGTATTTTTGTCTCATTTTCACAAAACATGTACAGGGGAAGGAAAAGCCTTTCAATAGAACCTGAGGTATTTTTGCATCAAGCAGCCTAAGGTATCAGGATTTTGTTTAAAAACATCTAAATTCATCAGTGTTCTAGATGTGCTCATATTTACACAACAACATAATAATAATAGTAATAACAATAATAATAATAATAATAATATTGATGATAATAATAGTAATAATAAGAACAATTTTAGCAAATGGGACAGCCTGTATCATCTTTGTTAACATGTCATAAATGACCTTTAACAATTCTTAAAAATATAGTGAGGAGGGTGAGAAGAGGTTGCTTGAGTGTCGGGGGAACATAGGAATTTTCTGAATTTACTGTAGCTGCAGCAGCACAACGTCAAAGGTCAGAGTTCGGTAGAGAGAAAAGCTAATTAAGGGTCCAAAAAAAACAAACAAACAAAAAAAAGAACCCACACACATTATAAATAAATAACCATCTTGCATCACAAGAGCAGAGTTTTCATTCCTCCACTTCAGGATATGAAGATCCTCTTGTTTTCTTTCCATTTTGTTGTTGTTTTTATCAACGCTTTAAAATAAGATAACAAAAATAATAAGAAGAAGAGCGAGAAAGAGAGAAAGCAAGGGAGCTTTATGGACATTGTGCTGATGTACCAGCAGCTGTGTACCCTGTGCCGGGCTTGGCTCACTGAAGGATCCCCTGAGACTGAACGAAAGGGTGTGTGTAGGGCCTATGCTTTACGGGAGTAAATTTCTAAGTGCATAAAGTATAGGGTGCCTTGTGTGTGTGTGTGTTGGTTTCAGCAT